AGAATGCTACACACGCTAATCAGTACTGAAACCACTTGTAGAAACAAAACGATTGATTTCATAAGAAATATGAGTATTTGACAAAATGTTATCTAAAACTGTAAATTTGTCATTGACAGTACGCTTTCGAAGGGATGATATTGACTGTGGAGTCACAGTCACAGTCGCCTGGATCGCAAATGATACATGTAAACCGTAAGTAGACTAATTGGAAAATTTTGAGCTGATAATTAGAAAAATGAAAGCCAATCATGCAACGATCTCCGGAGACGCAAAACCAGCAAGGTTAACTAAGTGAACGAAATTTCTTAGTGCAATTATTCAGTATTCCAATCTATTGTTGGGTTTATGGAAAAAGATTAAAGAAATTTTAGTGATAAAATTGACTATTGACCTCCTGTTACGCCGTAACGCAGCAAGACCACCCATTGCTTCGCGAAAGTTTAGTATTTGATATCTAAAATTGAATTAATTTTGGGATTGTACTGCAATTTTGCAAAACATCGAAAGAGGAGAAAAAAGTTTAGAACTGTGCTGAAGGCACGAGAAAATTTTTTTTTTTTCAATGTGGATTAGCAGCTTTAGCAATTTCTCTGTAAAAGTAAACAAATACATAGAAATCACAGAACAACAACACAGGGTAAACAATCAGTACACCAACTCGATACACAATGCATTCAGAAACAGATGATTAATTTACGAAAAGAAATCTATCTTGGAATTAGCACCATTTTCTTCTGGGTTTTGGTAAGTGTCTGAGCATTTATACTTAATTTTCTCAAAGCGTCGATTTTTCAACGCCCACGTTGACCAAAGGAGAGCTAAAGTTTTTTTTTCTCGAAAGTGGTATAGCTATTTCTTGCGAAAATGACGAAACGTTTTGAATGTTGCGCGCTTTGGATTTTGTGTGCGGCCGTAGGCTACCTCGTCGCGAGGTTAGCAAAACGGAACACTTCTGTCGTGAGCAGTAAATTTTGTATTGAAGTGTAGTGTTGATTGGGAATTCCGTCGTGTCCTCCGGTTTGGATTATTATTATCGCTATCATTTTGATTCCACATTTAATTATTAGTGCTCAATCTTGTTTTTCACTTAAACAAATTCTTGACCACAGCAACCCTCAAATACAATAATTTTGAGCTTTGAATCATGTTTTTGTCATATTTGAATGAGAATCAGATCTGGCATTAAAATTTTCTTTTTATCAATACTCATATATTTCTAACAGTGTCGATTCTATTTAATTCTTTCTTTTCTCATATACCTTTTCATTTATATCAATTATATTTCCTTTAAATTCTTTAAGTTTTTCCTTTGCTATTATTCACCATTTATTTCACTATATCATCCATTTCACATTTCACTCTATATTTATCATCTCATTTATATTATCCATTTCATATTTCACTCTGTATTTATCATTTCATTTATATAGCGCTTATTCATTATTCATATTTCTCAGAACTCAGTACTCAGCACTCAGTACTCAGTACTGAGCACTCCGGAGTTTACATATCTCACAAGATTCTAAACACTGGTTGTTCCCTAAAAAAATTTTATACAACCATGTATTTAGAACCACTGGGCATGACCCATGAGCATTTTCTTAATTAGGCCCGCTGGCCACTTAACTAAAAATAAATAGAGAAAAGATAAAGAAATAGATACACAGAGAAAACTGGACACATAATCGCAAGTTGTGGACATAAAGTGTATACACTTGTTAAAAGCTGTAATCGCATAGAAGTTTTTTTTTTGTCTAATAGAAGTTTTTTTTTGCTAAGTCGCATAGGCCCATGCAATAGTTAAAGTACCATAGAAATTCTAGATTGGACATCAAAACTCCCCAAAACTCTTACGCTAAACTTGTAAAACTAGAGGCCTGCAGTCTTGATTCTCAACATTAAAATTACAGTAAGGAAGTCCAATCTAGGTCTAATAGTATTTTGATTGTCGAAATGAAAATTTCTACGTTCTAATTTCTTAAGATTGGTCCACTTTCCTTCGTACTAAGAAGCTATACAAAGGTTTTGCGATTGCAAAGTATAAGACAGAGAAAGAGTACGATAGAATTGGAAACGACACTTTTGTGTACGTTTTGCAACTCGATCGACAGGTGCAGAGACACCTGAAGAAACTTTAGAGAAGAAGGAGAATAAGAATATGAAGAAAAATGCTTTGTCTCGAATACTCTGAATAGACTGACAAAGCAAAGAGTCATACGGTGACCTCAAACTAAACTACAAAATACCACCATTTCCAAGACCCAAATTCCATCACTGGGCTCTGTAAACTCAATGGCGCAAATCAAACTGGAAGTACTATTCACAATTCCCAATTCGAATTCAAGGAAAAAACTTAAAGGATTTCATTGTGCCGCAATTCCACTTCCCGCATTTTTTTTTTTTTAACCATATTTGCCGCGTTTGTTGACACATTTATTGAAAAGTATTTTTTTTTTCGTTATAGCAATCATGCAAAAACTGCTATAAAACTCCGCTGGCTCGTCAAGTATCGTAGCAAAACGTATGTTGTTTACTTAACGTTAGCAACAAATTTCAATTTCAGTTGCCAACACTAAACTGTATTGTTGGTAAGTCCCAATCCTAAATCTAACGCTATAATTGCTATCAAAAACCCTTGGTGAATACAAAGCCTGTTCATCCCGCTATTCGAAACTTCCACTCGAAAAAAAAGAATGAGCATTCTACAGGCTCACCAAAAAAATTGAACCGCTAACAAACCGCAAAACAAAAAACTATTTTTTTTCCACTGCATCAAAATGAGTGTTTTGCAAAACTCATATTCACCAATCATACAATCAATAACAAATCCTAAGACATCCCTTTAAAATAACTGTACTAACATTTTCTATTGGTTATTCTAATTAGGGGAAAAACTTTATAAAGGGGCTTGCACTGTGAACATCGGTGAGGTAAGCATTCAGTAATCTGTCGAAAACCTTCTTCTCTCTCTCCTCTCTCTCTCTCCTCTCTCTCTCTCTCTCTTTTCTCTCTCTCTTTCTCTCTCTCTTTTGGAAAGGGGGGGGGGGGTTCTTTTAGTAAGGTTGCCACCAGATTTTTTTTAAAATTAATTGTAACTTTTTATACGAGCACATTTTTGGACAAAAGAAGATAAAAATAAGTTACGAACACACAAAAAGGTCGAGGTCGAAACTAACACTGCTTGCCGTTACAAAAGTTTTGGCTTCAAAAATAAATTTTGTTCTAAATCACATTCACTTCTTTACCATTGAAAGGGTTGTACCGAAACATAATTTTAAAAATTGACTAAATTTTAAATATTGACTAAATGGAAATTTGAAAGAAAACAATAGCTGTCAGGAAATATGAATGATTTTGATTTATTTTAACATTTGAAAATACGCTGAGACACCGCCTAACACAAGCCGCTGTCGTGACGTCGTCGCGGCTCGTTCTCCGCCCGACGCTCCCCGCGCTCCGACTGCCACTCGGAGGAGGGAAGACACCGTTTGGACCCGAGCGTGACGTCACCACACCTCAATTGCGCTCTTCGCCGGACCCCCCCCTTTCCGCGCCTCGCCGCGCCTTGCCGCGCCTTGCCGCGCCTCGCCGCGCCGCGCCTCGCCGCGCCTTGCCGCGCCTCGTCGCGCCTTGCCGCGCCTCGTCGCGCCTCTCCGCACAAGTCTCTGCGTTTGATTTACTAATTTTATGAATCGCTTACAAGTTTTGGCAAAAGTCTGAGAAAATGGAAAAAAAATGCCGTTTTAATGCCAAAAACTAAAATGTTATATTCTTCACTAAAATTGTATTCAAAGGAAGAAAGTCGATGATCTGTGCTAAAATCACCTAAATTTAAGTTTTAATCTGAAAATTCTTATTAACATGCGAAAATACTACTGGTTTCCCTCTGTGACAAGTGTCGCAAAAAATTACAAAAGAAAAGTTATTTCGTTAATGCTTGTAATTGCATGAACAGATCATGATCGGATCGGTTTTCAAATCGACGGTCGCATCACGCGTTCCCACACTCCGCGTCGTCTCGGTTGCCGCGTCGCCCCGCGAGAATCGTTCCGAGGTGTCATATTAGTTCCGCAGTTCCCACTCGGCTGGACGGTCCGACGCGCATTCTTCCTCAGAACCGTCTGCCAACCGTCGCGAACCTGACCCCGGAAAACTACTGACTGCGATGGAACGCCTGGCGGCCCTTCCCGTGGGACCGCTCGCTGAAACTGGACCCGACTGGCCGGACGCCACTGCACCGGTAGAGCCACTGCCCTGAACCGACGCCAAGTCCGCGACACGTGGCCGCGTGGCCGCTGCCTGCACCACGTGGCCGCTGCCTGCACCACGTGGAGGTGCACCAGTACGCGTAATGACTCCCAATCAAGAAAAAGAGAAAGAACTCACGCCCACTGTACGTACCAAATTTGTTGAGTACTCCGAAAATTTTACCTCACCTTGTAGTTGCACTTCAATTCAAGCTCTAGCGCCTCTGCCGCTGCTCTCAAATTACTCCCACTTATCCCAGACTTACAAAATAATAGCTTAAATTTACAATTTTCCTTAAAATTACCTTAAAAACAAGACACAAAAACGACGTTTGCCTGTGTACCAAACAAAGCCAATTCACTCCAACTTGAATTACTGAAACTTATGCTATTTATATTTTACTCGTTTTGGAAATTTTGCATAATTGGGCATTGAGCTATTTTATGGTCGAGGCTGTAGCACGCAAAACAAGCGCCCCGATAGGCCCTCGTTCCCCAGGACCCTTGGCCCTGGCCGCCCCAAGCGCCCTGACACGGGTCGCCCCAGTCATCCTGGTCCTCACCGTCCCAGTCACACTCGTCCTGGCCGTCCCAGTCACACTCGTCCTGGCCGTCCCAGTTCTCCTGAACTCCGCAAATATTTTCAGATTGCCCCGGCTTTCCCGCTGCTACTGAAAGAGATTACAATTTTTCAAGAATTTTATCTTCCAGAGATTTCTCTCTAGGTTTGTCCAAATTTTCTAACAGTGCTAAGATTTTATGTTCCTTGTCTTGTGTTTCTAGTTTCTGGTTGGACACTTTATCCAATATTGCCTCAAATTTCTTTGTGAGCCTCGCCTCCATTTCCAAATTGGACGCACCATGTCCTTTTCTCACAATCGACCTATTTTCTAACGCATCTCTTAATCTAGTGATCAGTTCTGCTATTGTTTTACATCCGGCGCTTATGATTAATTCCGAGTCTTCAATTGGCAAAATTTCTAACATAAGTTTCACTTTTTCCTCTTCTGTGATTGTGGCTACCTTTGCAGCTAGTGATTGTGCTCGAAGCACAAAATCTATTGTTGTCTCTGTAGGTGTCTTTCTAAGACTGAGAATTCTGGTTCTGATTGATGAGGCTGTGTTTTTGACTGGTAAGTACTTTTGTATATTCTTTTTGTATTCATCCCATGTACTGTTTTTAAGTGATTCATGTGTTGTCTGCAGGTATTCTGGGAGAAACTGACCAATATAATCAAGAACGTCTTTGCCTGCTACACCATATTTATTGTAAACTGCGGCCGCATGGTCAAGCCAATGGAGTACGTTGTCGACATCAAACGGCCTGATTGTTGGTTGCAACGAAAGTGGTAAATTTTTAGCTGTCATGTTTTCTGTGTTTGCTAAGTGATCCAAATATTTGTTGATTCCCGCAATAAAGTTTTGCAAAATTTGAACCAGATGTTGCTTTGTTTCTGCTGCTGAATACCCTTGTTTTCTGAATTTGTTGAGCGCAAATTTTAATTTACTGACCGAAAGTGTACCCTCTTTGAATTTATACTGATTGAATTCTTCCTCTGTAGTTAGAACTTTAATGCTTGGCGGGGCGTCCGCTCTGACTTCCTGTGTGACAATATTATCCGGAAATTTAGAATTATGGGGTTTTTGAACTTCGGGCAAAAATTTAATGGGAAATTCGTCAATGTGTTTCAAAACTATGTCTGCGATTGATTGATAGTCTGCAGGAGTCCACAGTCGGGTGTTCTCAATGACAAAAACTGGCTCTAAACTTTCCAAACCCAAAAGATGGTTTACTTTTTGAAAAAATTCGTTGTTCATTGCATTGCGTTCAAAGTCAGTGCACTAACCTGGTATCCCGTTGTGAATGTTGAATGCACGCTGCTGAGCCACACCAAAGCTCCGGCTCCACGTGGCTGCACGTGGCGAAGTTTGAAGCAAGAGTATCCAAAACCACACAAAAATCACAAGTTCACCGCTCACTGGACCACACCAGAATCACTGAGCTTTTCACTGCACTTGAAATTTCCTCCACTCCACCGTTCCCGAAACCGCGCAGCCCGAGTCGTCACAAGGCTGGCTTCCACGTGGTCGCGACCGCGTTCCAAAATTTAGAAAAAAAAATTTAGCTATCACGAGAAAAAAACTGACTCGATTCCCGGCGATGCACCAATGTTTCGGTGGTGTGTTTCTCCCGGGTTCAAGGAATCGAGTGAGTTAGTAAATGAGATTAGTCCGAACTGGTTGTATTACGATAATCAAACGGTGGATACAAGGTTTAGGGCTCCACACACCCTCGCTACTACCGAGTATCCAGACGACTGCCTCGAGTCAGTCGTCTGTGTCCGGCTGGAGGGCTCCCGCGGGTCGCCAAGGGCCCGGCGGGGCGCCGCTCCGCTATTGCTACTACCTCATCACTCATCATCGCGCCGCGGGCCTCGCGCTCCAGATAGCCGTGAGCGGGCTGGATGACAGAAGCGGCGCGAGATTCAAATTGCCCCCCGCAACAGTGCCCGAAAAGTCACGCCGGTTTTTCGAATGACACATGGAATGATACATTTTCAGTGTATGCTAAAAGAAGGCGTAACATTACTACGAGTGTGTTGCCAGGTAGAAAACTTAAAATAGATTCACCACTTTCTTTCTTTCCGGCGCACTGCTCCGACACACAATGATCTCAGTTCTTTGCACATCGAAGGTACGTATTTTCACTTCTAGTATTGAGACGCGCTGCACTAGCAAGCGACGCGTCGTATGTATCGGGCGGTTGCGTCAAAGTAGGGGCGACAGCATAGAGCGCCCCCCCCCCTCCATGAAAAAAGGGGGCGTCGTGCACGAGAGAATTGTTGCGAGTTGCGAAAGAGGCTAAGAGGCTGCCCTTTCGTCAAGTACCGTAGAACGGGGTAACATGAGACAAATTTCGTTTTTTTTTTGTTAATTTTCCCCTTTCAATTTCAATTTAAGGTACTGAGGTGTTCAACGCTTGTTCATTGGCCCTTTGGCTACACTCCCACCAAATTTCAGATTTTAAGGTGCAGTAGGGACCTTTCAATAACCTTCGGAATGCCGTCCCATATTTCCCTGCAATGTGGGGTAACATGAGACATAAGAAAAAAATGTTAAAGTATGGAGAAATAACTCATTTAGGTGGGTTTGGAGCTTTTAAAGTTCTTTTCACTCATTTTAAAGATGATTGGAAACTTAAATGGAGACGATATAAAATCTGCAGGGGAGAAAAATGGGTGTTACTAAAGAGAGCTGAAAAATGTATGAAAAGTCATGAGTTGTGCCTGTCACATGAAAAAAACTAAACGAAGAGCATAGATGTCGGTTAGATAGTATAACAAATTCGTGTTAAAATCATTATTACTTGAAATTATTAACAGTGGAGTATGTTTGGCCTCATGTTTCAAGCGAAAACAGGTGTCTCTATTTTCCCTGTAAGGTAACAAAATTGTATTCCATCTGGAACAGGCAGCCCGGGAGTAGACATAACGGAACCAAATTTTGTCCTGATTATGTTGACATAATTGCCTACAGATTTAAACCTCGTTCGGACGAGAACCCGAGTTCTTACCGTGGTTTCTGGGGAGGTTTTTACTAACTTTATGAAACTTGTTAGAATGTAGAGGTTTTTCCTTTGGTTCTAAATAACCCTGGCAAGTCTCTCATAGCCTTCGTGCGTTTCCCGTGAGTTGCCACGGCCTCCTAGATCACGAAAAAATATTCACGGTGGGCTTCTGAACAACCGCTAGATAGCAACACGACAAAAACCGAAAAAGTGCGCTTTGTCTCGATTTTTCTTCATGCCTCGTATTACCCCGTTCTACGGTAGCTCACATACGGCGCGATATTCCTATCATATATTTCTATCTGCGTGTAAGCTATTGGACTGCGTGTACCAATGTCCTACTCTCAATGCGCGTTCGGGGCTCTTCCACATTCTAAACGCATGCAGTGATGAAATGTGTTTTTATACTCAATCGATTACCCAGGAGTTTGCATGCACCGATTAATGGACGTCAAGAACTTAATATCCGCGAAAACGGTATTTTGCTCCTGGGAGGTAGGCGATTCCCGTTTGAAGCATACCTATCTCACTCGCCAGAGTAAAATCACGTTGGGCATCCAAAGAAGTGGTCCTGTACCAAAACTCAAGTTGATAGCCTGTCAGAAGGTCTATTTCGAATGATTTTCAATTCTGACCCTGGAAAATAGGCAAACGCGTGTACCGCCGCTCTGCAGGGGGGTCCACCTGGGCTCCACCTCTTAAAATGACCCTTGGGGATAGTGGTATGCAGCCTCCTTGGGTGACCCTAAGAACCGCCCGGTGGCAGTAAATCCGATCCGAGCCCCGGGGGGCGCTGCTGCAGGTGCATCATGGTCTACATGGGGTCGAGGAGGATTTCGGCAACGGATACAGCCGAGGGGTGGCCGACTCCAGAAATTTCTGTACGAGGAACATGTTCCGGCGCGCGCGCGCGCGCACACACACACAAACACACACACACACACCATGCACTCTCATTCCAAGTACGTGACATCACGTTGAAACGAACGTAACAAAATGTGGCATTGTCACATTTGTTTAAATGTGAACAAGCTAATTTTTGGCCGATTCACATCCAAACGAATGTGACTCAATGCTCAAACGAACGTGACATTGTTTCAACCGGATGTCTCGCAGTACGAATGAGAGTGTGCATCCGACCATCCCGATACGGGACAGGCTAAAAAAGATATAATAAACCAGAGGAACACAAGGAACATTTTGGAACATTAAGGAACATTTTGGAACATTTGGGAACATCGAGGAATACTGGGAACATGAGAACATTGAGAACATCAGGGAACATTTTTCGGAACATTTGACCGATGTACGAGGAACATCGAAGTCGGCCACCCCTCGGATACAGCTAGCAGGTCATGTATGGGTATTTTTGGAATCGGGGCGACGAGACAAAACCAACGGTGCCAGTTTCAAGCGAATCGGAGAAGTTGGGACCCGGGTTTCAAATCCCAGTGGTGTACATTTTGAACATTTTTTTTTTTTCGAGTTTTTGCATTGTTTCTTATGTTTTTGGGGGCGCTGATCACGAAAATAACATCTATTTTGACCCCAGACTCAGGTTCAAACCCGTCAGGGTTAAACAAAGGCAAAATTCACACTTGTTAATGTACGGGACGGGCCAAAGTTGCCGATGTATATCGCTACTTTTCCTGTTATTATGATTCATCGAGACATTATAATACTCAACTATTTTAACATAAGCATTAGATCAATATAGCATTAGAAAACGTCTTTTCTAATACATTTCTTAGCAAAGGGAAAGGGAATACGACATAACTCTCTAATACATGGCACAGATTAGGCAGCACTATTTCTCATCTTTCTATTTCATCTCTTCCGTAGATAGCACATTTTTTTCATATCAGACACTAGAATTTTTTTATACACCAAGGCGGTAAATTCAACAAAGCTATTGGAGACCAAGCGACGAGGGATAAAATACATTATTAATAACGTTACAATGACTTCAAATGTGAAATTGTATAAAGAAGAGTCACGAGTGGCAAATCAAATGTGTCGTAAACTGCTTGAGTCGGATCATCCCGTGTTTGCCGGATGTATGAGTATTACCAGGGAAGTGCCGAAGCATGTCATTAAGACTGTGAAATGTTTGATTGAAGCTTTTGATGAAACTTGTAGAACATGCAAGAAGCTTGCATGGTTTATTGGAGGTATTTTTTTCCAATTTAAATGGTTATTTTATACATGTTTTTTTGCATATTCCTAAAACAAATTTTCACATGTGGTTTCGCATCATGGTGTGCGTGCAGGGCACACTGACACATATAATGATGTTGACATATATGTGGGATGTGGCTACACATTCGCTAGGAACTACGATGAAAACATTCGAGATAACACATGCTTTATCACTTTCAAGAAAAGTTGTTTGACCCCTGCTTAAGAGGATCGGTTTTTTCACTGGAAGTAAACCAGCAAGCGTACCAGCTAATTGAGGTGAGTTATGTTTTTTTTGTGCAATCATTCATTTCATTATGGTTTTCTTATAAATTTGATTTGTTTTTCTTACAGGTGCCATTCATGAGAAATTTGCAGCATATTCCAAATGATTTAAAGTTCTTAACACTTTTCAGTGTGCATGTTCTCACACAATATGATATGCCAATATGTAGAGTGTCTTTGACATTTGGACCCTCAAGAAATGAAAATTTTGTCATAGACCTTACTGATGTTGCATTGTACACAAAGAAGCAAACTCAATCTCGTATTGACAAATACATGGAACGAACAACCAAGGCA